AAGATAACAGTGTTTAGCGCATTGTTTTTGATTATAAATTGAATTTATACATACTTTTGAAAAGACACGATAAGACAAGCGTGAGGTATGTGAAGTGGAGTCGGAAAAATATTTCACGGGACCATCAATTGGCGGAATAACCACGGGTACGCTATCTCTAAAATTAAAGTAAGCCGGAAGGAAAAAAACAGAAGTTCTGTTATCATCACAAAAAATACTACGTATTCTTGAAAAACATGGTGTAACTAAATTCTTTTAAATTCAAGTTGGTTATCTCATCCTCATGCATGTAAGAAACTGTTGGCCCACAGACCGTGTTTATCCTCTTCAAAAAAACAAATATTCTGTACAGAACTTTTCGAGCAAACAGTAAATAACATAAATACTTATACCTTAGTAAAGACTGCAAAAAGTTCGTACGGAATCTTAAAAAGTCGCAATTTCCTTAGAAATATTTTTTTTCTATTCATCGCTTCTTGGCATTAATGTTTTAACACGCGTGCCCTTATAATTACCGGTTTTCTTTAAAAAAAAAAAAAAAAAAAATTTGAAAACGCAAAAAAAAAAATTATCCTGCGGGAGCCGAAATGAAGCCTGAATTTATCGAGAAACGTTTCTCACAGAGAGTCACAACGGTATTCTAGTTCACAAATTCAAAAAGCTGCTGTGGATGATGTGTTTTTTGCCTTTTCTTTTTCACTGTTGAGCGAGACCGAACAATCAATGGTCTTTTGTCCTTTTGTCTCCCTCTCTTGAAGCTGGGAGTTGCGACTCAGTAGCTCTCAGTGACATCTCTGTTGAAGTTTTGTCGTTTCATCTTTGCCTCTGAGTCTCTTGTTCCAAGATAACGGTATATGCTTGTCTGCTCGAAAATAGCCTACATTACTTGTGTCTCCTCGGGTTTGTACTTTAAGCGCTATAGAATGACGAGGTCACATGATATGCGAGGCGCTTCTGGGAAGCGCCTCGCATGGGTACTCTCGTCCCCTTCGCGCTTTCCCTTATGGGAATTATTATCTTCTCTTTCTGTTTTTTATGTTTTTTTTTTCTTACATTCCCAATAAAATTTATTAAATCATTTCATAGATGCATTCGCATCTATCATCATGTCAACAGTCATTTGTCGAGTACTGCTCTACAAAATACAACCATATGATTCATTGACGTAGAGATGCATATTTGATGTCAGTAGCAACCTTTTCCAAGAAATTTAACGCCTGATTTTTTCCGATTGAAAGCAATGTCGTTTTGGGTACCGAAAAAAGGTCAGCTATGATATTGGATAAAAAAAATCCTAATGTAAATTCTAAAATTAAATTCCTGCTAGAATGACCAAACAGATACCAATTTTATAGCGCAGCCTAAGTTAAATTACAAGGACTTACCTAAAAGCACTCCAGACAACCTAAAAGAGCGTTTCAAAGCATTCGAGGGAATTTCGTCGTTGGGTGCCTTGAATAAATATCAGATAGTCTGAATTCTCTCTGCCAGTTATACAAACACCATATTGAACAGTCGCGGACGTTTTTGGATATCTTTAGTGTCGCTGGGGCTAGAGATAGCTTGTACAAAAGAAACCCACTATTGTCTTTTCTTTTTTTCTTTTTTTTTGCTTTAGATACACAAAACAAACAGTTTTAATTTACCAATACATTCTCTTCAAATTTGACCTGAAACAAATGAAACAATTAGATTATGGGCTCTTGATTTCTATCGCGCGATAGTTGACGAAGGCGCAGCCCGATTCA